GATTTATTCTCAATCAACAAAACCCACACTTTCTTTGAAAAATCATCAATCAACGTCAGAAAATAATTTTTCCCACCATGAGTGGAAACACTATAAGGACCCCACAAATCAGCATGAATACAATCAAGCACATCAGTACATTTAGGCAGATCAGGAAAACCAACTCTAGACTGTTTTTCTAGCACACAGGGTTGCACACAATTCACAGAACCAAGTACGGGTTCAGCATGACAAACATACAAGTTGTTTTTCATCTCGGCTTTAAAAACAACTAAACAACCCTTAACAATCACTTTCCCCATTTTCCCTTCAAACCCTCATTTTTAAGAGAAGCACAAGATAGCAAATTACAGCACAGCTCAGGAACATGCCTAACATTCTTCAAAGTAAGCACATAACCAGAAGAAAACCTAAGGCATACATCTCCTATTCCTAGCACATCGCATTTCTTCTGATTTGCTAAAGACACAAAGTCATGCTCAATCTCTCTATAGTTTGAAAACACATTTTTCAAAGGAGACATATGAAAAGTACAACTAGAATCTACCACCCAATCTGATTTACTCAAAGAATCAGATATCACAGAACTCAAGTAGTCATAATCACATAGATTACTCATCATAAAAACATCACCTAAATCATCTTCACACGTAGTCAAATTAGCATGCTCACTATGCTCATTTTTCCTAGATTTAGGACAGTCTTTTATGAAATGACCAGGTTCATGACAATAATAGCAACGCCTCGAATTAGACCTAGACTTAGATCTAGGTCGTCTACTATTATCTCTACCCCTCACATGCATAACTTCCTCGGATTTTCTACCCTCACCCATCTGTTTTAAATCTAATTCCTTACTCTTAAGACCATTTACCACAATGTCAAGAGTCACATTATCTCTACCATACTTAATAGCAGATTTCACATCACCAAAGGAATCAGGAATAGCATTTAAAAGAGCAATAGGGGAATAATTATCTATATGTTTATCACCACACAACTTAATATCCGAAATAAGTTTGGTAAAAACATCTAGATTTTCTTCAATATCCTTAGACATATCCAGTCTAAATTTGAAAAACTTCTCAAGTAAAAACATCCGGTCAGGCAAAGAGGTTATGTTATAAAGCTCTTCAAGTTTATTCCACACATATTTAGCTGATACTAAAATTCCTACTTTTCTGAGCACACAATCAGATAAGTTCAAGTAAATTGTAGAACAAGCATTTTCATTCATTTCTGCATTTTTCTCTTGCGTATCGGAATCCAAATAGGTCTCACTAATGGCCCTATATGATTTTTGTTGAATTAATATACACTTTATTTTCTGTTTCCATATGCTAAAATCAGTTTTTCCATTAAATGGAGCCATTCCTTACTGATTAAAAGCAAACATTTTCACACAGAAAAACTAAACAAGAAAATAAAAAATGCAACTTTAGCTAGAAAAACAACTTAATATTTATAGGGCTAAACAGTAGCACAAATAAATACAATCTGGCAAATATCAAATTAACAACAAATTCTAACAATTTAAAATAATTGAAAAGCAGAAACTGAAATTTCGGATAAAGAAGAATTACAACAGCCAAACACTAGGAGAGTGTTTGGACCTTACCCACCCAATTTTAAAAAATTAGGATTTTTCGGACTGTTGACTGACTTTGACCAGCGTTGACCAGCCCACTGTCCAGCTCCAGGTCCGGCCCAATACTTCAAGCCCACCAACGTCCAGTTGACTTTGACCAGCGTTGACAACGCCCACTGTCCCCTCATCCAATCCAAGAAGAAGCATATCACTTCTAACTCCCCTAATCCACGTCTGTTTGGGCCTTCCTCTCCCTCTCTTCCATGCCTCTTCTCCACACATCTCAACTCGTCTGACAGGTGCATCACTCGGTCTTCTATGCACATGACCAAACCACCGTAGGCACGACTCCCGCATCTTATCTTCAATAGGTTGTACTCCCACCCTTTGTCTGATTATCTCATTCCTCATGCGGTCCTTTCTAGTATGCCCACACATCCAACGTAGCATGCACATCTCTGTCACACTCATCTTTTGAATGTGACATAGCTTCACCGCCCAACACTTCGTGTCATATAGTAATGCATGCCTAATTGTTGTCCTATAAAATTTACCCTTCAGTCTAGCCGGCATACCTCGACCGCATAGAAATCCTGACGCACTCTTCCACTTCATCCACCATGTTCTGATTTTATGGGATACATCTCCATCTAACTCACTGTCCTTCTGAATTATGGAGCCCAAGTAATGGAACATATCGTTGATCAGTATCTCCTTACCATCTAGAGTAATTCCGCTATTACCACTGCTTCTACCTCCACCAAACTTGCACTCCATGTACTCTGTCTTGCTCCGTCTTAGTCTGAAACCCTTGTTCTCCAATGTTTGTCGCCATACTTCCAACTTTGCTTTAGCCCGTGACTGCGTCTCATCAATCAATACAATATTGTCGGCAAACATCATGCATCACGGTAATCGTCTTGAATTTACTTTGTAAGTTCATCCATGACTATGGCAAATAAGAAAGGGCTCAAAGTCGATCCTTGATGCACTCCGATAGTAATAGGGAACTTCGTAGTCCTCCCTACACTAGTACGGACACTTGTAGTACAATCCTCATACATATCCATGATGATGCTGATATACTTGCGTGATATGCCTTTTTTAGTTAAGGTCTACCAAAGAACTTCTCGAGGTATTGATTATTGAATGTTGTGGTAAACATAAACCTTCTGAGGTATTGATTATTGAATGTGAACCTCATGATTCAATACTTGTAATTAACTCATATACTGAGTATGCAGAATGTGGATTGGGTTGGGTCATATTTTTAGGACAGATTTGAAGTAGCATTTTATATTTAAATGGATCAATATGATACAAGTGTTCTAAAAACTGCTATGCAGCCCCTAGGCAGTAGACTAGGGCCAAGTGGGAGATTGTCTCTTTCATGTTTGTTTTAAATTGATCAAATAATAAGGCCTTTATATGAACTTCAGAAGTGGAAAGTGAAAGATGGTAAACCTAAATAGTGGATTTGAGTTTTTAGCCTTTTGTTTAGTGCTTCATATTCTTCTCTAAAGACATACATGTAAACCCCATTTCCTTTTTCAAAGTCCTTTAATTTCATATTTGTTTTCTAAACTCTTACATGTTTCAGTTTTAAACTCGGCCTACCACTATTGCCTTGTGTTAATTCTAGGGATTTGAATTATGTAAATAAAATATTGTTTTGTAGGAAATGAATTGCAAGGATTGCATGATGAAGTGGTGTCCAATGGTTTTAGTTTGGTACAAGTTCTTCCAACCCGAATAAACCGAAACCGAACGGAAACCGAAGAAAACCGAACTGCAAACCGAATTGCCCACCGCTAATTCACCTATAGGCTCCACTAACATTTTGGTAGTGACATCCACTACAATGGCATTCACCATAATGACACACGCTACCGTGACATCCATCGACCGGTGACCGCCGACGATCACAATGACACTGCGGCTATACTAACACAGACCACAGTGACACAGGCTCCGGAACAGCGAACCGCCACCTCGTCCAAGCAATGATTGTAGTCATCCGATTGGTGGATTGTGAGTGATGATTACGCACAAGCAATAATGGACAAGCAATAAGTTAGTCTAGTAAGTGGGCCGTATCTTATTACTCTGAATTTGGTCTATTTACAGCACACTACTACAAACCACTCTAAGCTGATTGTTTATTTCAGCTGGGGGGGGGGGGGGGATTCAGGATTGCTAGCGCTGGAGAGTATCATTTGTCAACCCTTTAAAATGAAATAAATACTACTATTTATACTATCAAGCGGTAGGTGATTTTGATGATGTTCATAAATCACACGTTTTGTGACAAAAAATTACGTGACACACAAAAAAATTGTCATATTATATTCAGTAATAGTTACAAAACTAAATTTCGTCACAGTAAAAGGATTTGTTGTGACAATATTAGCATCTGTCATTTTAACTCATATATTTTTGATCAATAATTGATACTTATTATGACAATAAAAGCAAATTTGTCACTTAAAAATTGAGTGCCAAAATATGATGCCAAAAATTTGGAGGGAATTCTTTTGATGACATTTCATAAACAATTTATGATGATAATTTGTGTCACGTAAATTTTGATTAGTATGACAAGATTATATTTCGTCACTAGTTGTTTTGTAAAATAATGAAAAATTTATTTTGTCATTGATGTTACCTTTTGATGACGATTAATGCAAATGTGTCATACTTTAATTTTTTACAAAATACAGAGTATATTTTAACAAAAGTAAGAGCAAAGGTTATAGATAAAACATTAATATTAATTGATTAAAGAAAATATTACCCGAAATAAGACTAAAAATGTTTAAAATTTTAAATTATAACTGTCATGTTTTTTATTCTAAAAACAGAACTAATTACTGTTATATTTTAACACTACCATACTGACAATATTTTTTAAAATTAGCACTAATTTCTAAAATCTTATAATTGTCAATGAAAGTTAGGGTGTTTTAGGGATGAAAAAAATGTTGGTGTAAATGTGTAGCTTCATGAGATGGTCCACAGTCCACTATGCTTTAGCATTTGTACTCCCGTTTTATTTCTGTCCAATCCCTTTCATCCCTTCCGTTCCGTTTGTTCCATTTGCCTATTAGGTTGAATACACTAGGGGTGGGCGCGGTCCGGTCCAGTCCAATATTTGGCCGAACCCGAACCCGTACCGGTACCGTTACTATTCAAACGGTTCGGTTCGGTCTTAGACCTAAACCCGTTCGCTACGGTTTCATTTTGAAACGGGACGGTACCTTGCCATACCAATTCCAAACATTTTCACTTTTTTCAAGTGCTTAGAGGAAATTAAAGTTTATTCATCCTCCAAAAATCGACACAATTTATCAATTTTCATGCTCATTTTATGATTTTATCCCAAATTGACATGCAAAGTCAATAATTTTTTTGTCAACAGTTAAAGTTAAATTCTCTTTATTGATAATTGATTTATTTTTTAATAATTAAAATAAACATATTCAGAAACTACATTGAAATCTCTTCAAGCTCATCATGAGCAATTGAGCATTCAACCTTAGCATGGGCCTTCGTATCTGTAAAAACTGCCCTCTTAACTACAAGTTCTTCCAACAAAGGGATGTTTTCTCCTCACTAGAAGAAGTGTGAAGGTGTCCAGAGACTCCAGAGGATGCCTTAGCCATACAAACAAACCAAAACATTGTGCAGTATACTTTCTGCTCACTTAAAGATGCAATTCATTGATGCAGAATATGATAGGATGGTAATATCCCCACAATCACAATTACATACACACACACACACACTGAACAAAACCATTATTGGTGTTTACATCATGAAGCAGCCGTCAAACAAAATCTGTCAACTCATTCATCTTCAGTATATGATCTGGTGATTGAACCACAATCGCAAGATAGTTGATTTTAGCCAAAGCTTTCAATGATCATTTCTGTTAGATATAGTACCCAACCTGGAGATCAGCTTTGCAACCGCCAACTCCTTTGCTTCTGAGGAATCAGATTGTTGATCACCATCACAAGAGCATTCAAAACTCGTTCCTTTTATCATAATCTTAACACAAGCACCACCTAATAGAGATGTTATACGCATTTATTAGTTATAGCCAGTACTACAAAACGAGGCTTGAGAGAGAGAATAGAGAGTAAAAATTCCGTAAATAACTGAGAAACAAAACTAGCAACAGGTTTTCACCAGTCTTTCAAGCTAATAATGTATCATAGCAAACAGAAGACCAAACTCTGAAAATAAAAGGTCACTATTTCTTCATTAATGTTAGATTCATCTAAAAATATAAAATTTACACATTCACAAGAGAGCACTGCAACATGCTTATTAATGGGGGATAACAATTGCCCCTGATTATCACTTTTCTCCATCAGACCAAATATATAGGTCCTTGCTACTTCTTACATGGATAATGATGGATATTAATGAAACAAATTATATGTGATCACCTCAAAATACTACTCTCATTGTCCCATTTTTGGTCCCCTTTTCCTCTTTAGTTTCCCCCACAAATCTGTTAAACACTTCTAACATTTTACTCTATAGAACTTTTAACATAGAGCAAGCATTATGTTAGAAGTATTTTCCAAGGAACTAGCTATTACAGCGTCTGTACCCATGAACCCATCATAAAAGATGCTAATATCGAATCGTTTAACACCTTAGTTTTAAAAGGCGTGAGGCGTCATGAGACGCTTTTGTTAAATAGCCAAGGCACGAGGCGGAGGTGCACGCCTCACGGGACTTAAGCATATAGATTTGTTAGTAATACTAATAGAACATTTACATGATACCTTCAACCAAAAAATAATGATAAAATCATATAAATACCACAAGTAAGCAAGGTGTTGAACACCAAAACCAGTCACCATTCACCAAAATAAACATTCAATGGTTACTCATTTAATGAGTTCAAGAGCTTTAAGTTTACTGATGTATGAAATTTTATACAGCATCCAAGCTTTTGTCCCACAAGAGTTTGGAGTCGGTTAACATGATTCCACATATGAAACTGGAGCTAAAAAAAGATAAAAACTTACAAAGATAAAAATGATAAGATAAAAAGATAAGATAAAACTAAGGCTAATTTAACTAAGTCTTATGATGTAAATATTATATTTACTAATTTAATGTGTCCTGGACTTCAAAAACTAAATTACATTAATTAGTTACTTACTTAGTTACATGGTTAAAACATTCAGACTTCTAATTTTAAGACTAATTTTTTGATCTGGTCTGAACTGATTTGATCAATGTCTATTCTGTGTGTATTTATAACTACCGAAGTCTGATCTGGACTGATCTATTTAAGTATGACTTGTTTGGAATTGAAACCAATCCAATTTAAAACATCCTAAATCTCCAAAAGTACGTTATTAATATTAAATAACATAAGAAACTGTCTAGAACTGAACAAGGAAATATCAATCAATAATCAATAATAGTTAGGAAACTAATAGCTGCTTGTTTTAATAACCAGGCAGCCCGCTCGGCTCAACCCTTCAGGCACGGGCAGTGTCATGAACATCCTAACCCAACCCATTATGTTCAATGAGACCTGGCCCATCTTTAATATCTCTCTCTCCACCTACTCCGTTGATACGTGCAGACAGGGCATGCTCCGTAACATATGCTCCTGTTAAGTGCGTGAGTTAGAGACCTCGTCCAAGGACGTGAACGGGATTGACAACAGGTAAACAATGATGTTCCTGGAGCTATTTTAATTGACAAGGAAAAGATGAATCTGAAAATAGAGGCTTGATAGATAATTATCGATCTCTGACCCAGTCAAGAGATCTTAAGATTAATTAACCAAAAAGCTGTTTATTAAAGTAGCTGGGATCCCCTTAAATAGATACAAGGTTTCCTAAAACAAATAGGAAACTAAGTTGCTAAAGGGTTTCCTAAAACAAATAGGAAACTAAGTTGCTATTCTAATACAACTTGAATAAAGGAATATTAATTAAAGTAGGACTAATTAAATACTAATAATAATATGACTCTAACTGCCTTCTTATTTCTTTTCTCTTAGCCATGTTGGTCATTAATCTTCTCTGCCCCGCACTGCTTTCTTCGTTCATATGTGCGGCCATAGAATTGGTCCGTAACATCTCCTTGCAACTGTCGTAATGTTGATTGCAGGTGAAGCTTTTCAATAAGGGTGAGCTCAAGAATATGGTTGCACGTAATCTAATATCTTGATATGATGATAAAGCATGGGAAATTGCCATTTGTACATGCCGGTTGTACACGCCAAATATTTAATTAGAAATTACTCCAAATAGGAGTAAAAGTAGGGTAAAAATCCAAAACAGAACTTCTTACGTTTTTATTCCCAAATAGGACCATATCACTCCTATATTAAAACATATAGATTTTTTCATTCCATTCTTACCCCCTCCTTTAACCTACCCGATCAAGCGTCTGTTCTACGCACATCCTTCTCTCCCTCTCTCCTGCGCACCATCCTCCCTCCTTCTCAATGGATTTTTTCTTCATTGCACAATAGATCGATCATTGTACCATCTTTTCCCCTCTTTTTTTTCTTCTTTTTTTATTTATATTTTATCCTTATATATAAATATTACTTTATCCTTTTTATTTTATCTTTTATATGTATATTCATCTCTTTTATATTATTTTTTTTATAATAGCTTATCTTTTTTTTCTTTATTTTCTTTCTTTTTCTTTTGGTGATATCATGTATCGATTCATGTTAGCCGACCCCAATATCGTTTGGGACTAAGGCTTGGATGTTGTTGTTGTTGCACAATAGATCGATCAACTTCACCGATAGTTCGTACTACATCGTCGATTTCATCCTTATTATCGCCACCGTCGCCGCCGACTCCACCACTCACAGCCGCTGTTTGGTCATGTTTCCTCCTCCTTCCTTTTCTTCTTCCTCTTTTTCCTATTCTTCTTCTTCTTCTCCTCCTCCTCCTTATGAGTTTCAACATTAATTTTTCAGATTTTCCTCTTATTCTTTTTTTTAGATTTGACATTCATTTGGCTGATTTTTGGACCCCTCTGTTAGGTATTTCCGATTCATATTTGTGAATTTTTTAAAAAATTCCGATTTCCAGTAATTTTGGATGATGGCATAAGATTTTGCCAAATTTATGGCAGGAATATGCATACTGACACTCGGTTGTGGCACAATAGATTTTGTGTAAATCGGTTTTTTAATTTTTTTGATATTAGTTTCGTATTTGAGATTTTTTATTGTAGTAAAGTTTTTATTCCTTTAAAAAATTATTTTTCGAATATTTGATTGTTGAGTTCATATGTTTGCCAAATTTATGGCAGTTTTGTATTATTCTTCCAAGACCAATCTTCCATCTTTGTTGGCAGATTTAAGATTCATACGAATGGCAGATTTAAATTAATCTTGAAGTCCAAATATGCCAACTTAATGGCAGATTTATGACATTGCTGTTGTGAAGGTGGTGGTGGTGCTTGGAGTTACAGTGGTGGCTTCCAGATCTGAGTCTCATGGTGGTTTTGCTAAAAGGCAGCAACGGCAGCCGGAATGGACGGCGGCGACGGCAGAGGATGATAACGTTGGTTGGGGCAACGGCGTGTGGTCAGCGGCGGCGGCGAGTGGTGGTGGTGGTGGCAGTTGTGAGCGGCGGCAGGCGATGCTGGCAAGGGCGGCAGTGAGGGTGGCTGAAGTACCGGAAATATAGGTTTCATTAGATTTTTATTTTACACTTTTATTTATAAATTCTAATAATCATAGAATAGGGGCATTTTTGTCCAAGTAGATGATTATATGTCCTATGAAACATACGTTTGTATTATGGTCCTATTTGTGAACACCAGCCCTCTTTTAGTCCTAAAGAGATAATTAACTCATATTGTTTCTGTGCACAGATAAAATATCCGGCATGACAATGGCGTGTACACAATAAAGTTGCAAAGCATAAAATGCAAGATGCCTAGAGAAGCTCAATCATATGAAAATGCCTCACCATGGGTTGAGGAAAGCCTATATGCCGGAAGCCTCCAGCCATTTGCAGAACATATAGCATCCAATTCCTGCCAAATGAAACTATCAGCTGGCTTGTATTATAATAAAACACAATGGATAACAAATAACTGTGATTGACATTGGATATAGGACTGGTATTTTTGAATGCATGTCTAAGTAATAAAAATGCAGAAGCTGTTCATACAGAGGTAAAATAATGGCATCGGGTTATTGATGCAAAAGAAAGACTCTCAAACGTATATACTTGATTGCTTCGGGTTAAATGCCCGAGCACCATCTGACAATCATAAGATACAAGAAAAAATAGTGAGATGAGTATATAAATTGATTCTCATGTTTGGTTTATGAAATAATAGTGGTAGAGTACAAAAAAGAGTGTGGAAGGACGAGATGTCATTGATTCTCATGTTTGGTTTATGAAATAATTTAAATTTGATACCTAACATTTGTCCCCTAGTGTGAGAAGAAATGGATCTCCTAATTTCTATCCATGCATTTTTCTCCTACCAAACAAGCGAAACAACATACAAAATTTACCTATTAATATATATTTTCTTCTCCATCTCTTTCTCACCTATTTCTCTCTTCTCCATTTTTCCCTCAACAAAACAAAGGCTACATGTAGCCAGTAGTCCAGTACAGTTTGAAATCAAGACTGAACAACAAACAAATAAATAAGATGATAGGAACCAGCCTATTAGTGTAATATTAGTAATAAGGAACTGGGCCTGACTGTTTGGGGATTGGGCCTAATAGAATATTAATAATAATAAGTGTACAATATTAGTATAAATAGAATAAGCTTGGGGCAAGGAGAATAGGCTTTTGGACACTCTGTTTTTGGGATTTGGGAAGATTAGAGAATCTGTTTTCTCTTCTCTTTTGGGAGGCTTCGGCCTTTGTACTGTTTCTCTCTGTTATCGATCATATTCATCAATAAAGATTTCAGTTGTTTCCTATTAATTTTCTGAGATTGTTCTGGATTTCTTGGAGGTTTCTAACATTGGTATCAGAGCCATACTTCCTGGAGACCGAGAATCTGAATCATGGAAGAAATTTGTACACCAGAATTGGAGAAGAGGATGGAGTCGCTGGAGAAGGAGCAGACATCGATGATGAAGAAATTAACAGATATGAGAAAGATGGCGAAACAGATGACCAGACAGCTAGATGCGATGAAAGAAATTCAGGCGAGAAAGCGTTCGAAGAGCACATCGCACACTTCACATAGTTCCTCGCATCATTCTTCCCAGAGTTCTTTACAGCGTTCTTCGCAGAATTCTTCACATCGCTCTTCGCAGAGTTCGTCGCGTCGCTCTTTTCATCGCTCGTCGATAACTGACAAGGTAAGTTCGTCACAATCGTTCACCAAGTCGCTGTCGGAATCGCGAACCACTTCTTTTGGGTCGAAATCGCGAACTTCTACGCACCTTTCACAATCGCGAACAGAGTCTTTCCTTTCGCAAAATGATTCAGCGGCTATTACTTCACGTCCAGGGAAGAACCGATTGAGAGGAGAATCTTCAATTTTGTCTCTGGACTATTCTTCCAATTCACAGGCATCTTCACTTGCGGAAATTCATAACTCGTCAACACAGGCCCATTCTCTCGATTGTTCACAAGTGTCTACGCAGTCGTTACCTGATTCTTGGAGTTCTTTGGTTGGGTCGCATCAACCTGAACAGGAAGTGAATACATACATTCCAACAAAGTCAGCCTATGATAGCGGCTCAAGAAGCAAGGACCAAGAGCAAGGAAAGTGGGAAAACTTTTCAGGCTATGGTATGATAGGGGATTACTTAACTGGGAAATCATTTTTGCAAATTGCAGAAGTACAAGAAGTACAATTGCAACCATGGGTTGAGAGAAGGCTAGGCGAACACAAGCTTGACTTACATAATCCATTTAAAGCACCTTCAGTTCAACAATTGGAGACGAAAGAGGAAGTTATGAAAGAAATAGAAAATGTTGATTCATCAAATAACCTCAAAGCTCTAAAGGTGCAATATCCTTCATCAAAGGGAATGTTGGAAGAGCAGAATCAGATTGAGGATTTCAAAATTGAAGGTGTGAATTCTATGGAATATATCATAAAGGGATTGGGAGTGGTAGGATTAACTGGGAAGGATAAGGAAAAGATTAAGGAAAAGACAGTAATCTGTATAAGTGTTTCCGTTGGGGGTGTAGTTTGTGACCATCAGTTTCAGATGGCTAGCGCCAGTAAAGGAATCAAGGCTGCGGATGATAAGAAATATGATATAGTAGGGGTAGTCTACATTGAAACTCTTGTTGTTGGGTTATGGCAGGCCATTGATGATGGAAACCCGGTTTTTATGACCACCCTACTAAGAGGTTCTTCCAACTGTTTGACTGAAGTTTGTATGTGTACCCGTGAAAAGGTTAAAACTGGTTTGCTCTGTGATCCATTTAGAGCTGTAAATCCCCAGATTATGTTTGCCTTAGGTGAGAGAATACAGAATTATAATGAAGATCTTTGTAAGAAAGTTACTGTTGCTCTTTATGAGGTTCTTGGGATGGATCCAACTGAGGTTAATTCTTTTGAAAAGATGTGGGAACAAAAACTAAGAATTCTACAGGAAATGCAGAAACTGGGAGAATCTTACGACACCAAAGGGGATTATGCCACCATGTCTTTACTTATGCTCCTTTTTGCTGAGGACTGGAGAATGAAGATTCAAGTGCCAAAGCTAAAAGCACAGAATTCAGAAATGTACTGGGAAGGAAGAGGCATCAGAATGAAGATGAAGCTGTTAGTGACGGCTATTTCCTATCACCCACCTTGAGGGCAAGGTGGTTGTTTAGGGGGGAGTGTTGATAGGAACCAGCCTATTAGTGTAATATTAGTAATAAGGAACTGGGCCTGACTGTTTGGGGATTGGGCCTAATAGAATATTAATAATAATAAGTGTACAATATTAGTATAAATAGAATAAGCTTGGGGCAAGGAGAATAGGCTTTTGGACACTCTGTTTTTGGGATTTGGGAAGATTAGAGAATCTGTTTTCTCTTCTCTTTTGGGAGGCTTCGGCCTTTGTACTGTTTCTCTCTGTTATCGATCATATTCATCAATAAAGATTTCAGTTGTTTCCTATTAATTTTCTGAGATTGTTCTGGATTTCTTGGAGGTTTCTAACATAAGAGCATGTTATGGACAAGTTTTGGGGCCAAAAATATCAAAGGTGCAGGATTGGACAAAAGGGTGATTGGGCCCAAAAAATTCAGCCCAATGAGACCACTGAAAGTGGCTGACTTTGGGAGCAAGTTCCTGCATTGACTTTATGGCTTTTTAATTCAGTTTAGCAAGTTTCCTAATTCAGTTTTAAGTAAGTTTCCTAATTCAATTTTAGTAAGTTTCCTAATTCTTTTTTAGGACTCTTGTAAGACCTTTATATATGGGTCCTCAGTTGTTTTAGAGGGAGGTTTTTTGGCAAATTACTGTGTCTTGACAAGGTCAGGCACCGAATTAATTCCAATAAAATCTTTATTTTCTTTCTCTCTCTCGGCTCATCATAGATCCGAAAATTTATTCATCTCAGTACTTGAATTCACTTCCTTTGTCTCGTTCTCGACCTTGGACGACATCGTGTACGCGCACTCTTAACAATTTGGTATCAGCATCAGGCACGATGGGGACTGATTCTACATCAACCGATAATTTGAACACCAACATGCAGGGAATGGATCAACGGCAGTTTGTTTATTTCAAGTCTAAACTATATCTCCTGGATTCCTTCGCCATTATTTCGATCTTCCTTTCAGTTTTCCATGGCATGGCGCATGAAGGGGTGGAAAAGACGCTGCAGCGTCTCCGTCGGGAGTTTTTCTGGCCTAGCATGAAATCAACCGTGGCAGCATTTATTCAGAATTGTCAGACGTGTCAGCAACACAAATGGTTGAGCTTGCAGCCGGCAGGGCTCCTTCAACCACTCCCGATTCCACAACACATTTGGGCAGATATATCGATGGATTTTGGAGAAGGGCTGACTAAGGTGAGAGGCAAGACAGTGATATTGGTGGTTGTTGATCGTCTTTCCAAAACAGTGCATTTTCTTCCATTGGCACACCCGTTCACAGCAATTTCTGTTGTAGGGGTCTTCTTTCAGAGATATTCCGCTTACATGGACTACCAGAATCTATCGTCTCTGACCGGGATAAGATATTTGTGAGTTCCTTTTGGAAAGAACTATTTCGGTTGGCGGGCACTAAATTGGCTTTTTCTTTTGCCTATCATCCTCAAACCGATGGTCAAACTGAGGTAGTAAATTGTACTTTGGGAATGTTTTTGCGATGCCTTACAAGTGATTACCCAAAAGAGTGGGTTCATTGGATCCCATGGGTGGAATACTGCTATAACACCTCTTACCATACGTCTTTGGGGGATACACCCTTTCGTCTTGTTTATGGTCGTGATCCACCTAAACTTATCTCATATGTCCCTGGGACGGCACGATTAAAGGGTGTGGACCGTGAGATCCTTAGCCGGGATCAACTCTTGGCTAAGGCCCGAGAGCGACTAGCTCAAGCCCAGCAACGCATGAATCTGCAGTATGACAAGACTCATCACGATCTTTCCTTCCAGGCAGGAGATTGGGTCTGGCTACGCATTCATCCTCACAGACAACTCTCCCTAGGTCGTGGTAACCATAAAGTAATTCCAAAGTCTCATGGACCATTTCAGGTTCAGTCACGAGTTGGAGAAGCAGCATACAAATTGAAATTACCACCAGCGAGCCGCATTCACGAGGTGTTTCATGTCTCTCTTTTAAAGCCACACAATGGGACCCCACCCACAACCATGGGAACTCTGCCATTGCTAGTTGACCCCCCTGACGAAATCACACCACTTGCTATTCTCCGCAACTGTCTGCATCATGGCTCCTTAGAATTCCTGGTCCAGTGGAAGGGGAAATCAATTGAAGAAGCCTCCTAGGAACCTGCAGATACATTTCGGGCCGCGTATCCAGATTTTGAGCTTGGGGACAAGCTCCTAGTCAACGAGGGGAGTGATGTTATGGACAAGTTTTGGGGCCAAAAATATCAAAGGCGCAGGATTGGGCAAAATGGTGATTGGGCCCAAGAAATTCAGCCCAATGAGACCACTGGAAGTGGCTGACTATGGGAGCAAGTTCCTGCATTTACTTTATGGCTTTTTAATTCAGTTTAGCAAGTTTCCTAATTCAGTTTTAAGTAAGTTTCCTAATTCAGTTTTAGTAAGTTTCCTAATTCTCTTTTAGGACTCTTCTAAGACCTTTATATATGGGTCCTCAGTTGTTTTAGAGGGAGGTTTTTTGGCAGAATTAATTACTGTGTCTTGACAAGGTCGGGCACCGAATTAATTCCATTAAAATCTTTTATTTTCTTTCTCTCTCTCGGCTCATCATAGATCCAAAAATTTATTCATCTCAGTACTTGAATTCGCTTCCTTTGTCTCTTTCTCGACCTTGGACGAGATCGTGTACGCGCGCTCTTAACAGTGCATATGTAGTGTGAAATGTTCTCTCATTCTTATTACTAGGGTACTGGTCAAACTTAACTTGCAAATATATAAGTGCCGGTTGATGTAGTAATAAATACCGGTAAATACCGAGTCAATCCAAAGGGAAACGTTTGATTTTATAGATTTTGTGTTTTGGATACATAAGTGAATAAATAAAATGGCTAAAGGGTCAAATAGATACATGAACTAACTTAAAGTGTTCAATTAACCCCTTATATAGGAGGTTTTGCCCGGACGTCGCCAATTGGGGCGGTTCCCAGTGGAATTTTTTGATGAAACTTTTTGAGCATCTTCTTTATTAAGTCTAGTTTACCCATACCAAATTTCAGCTAAAAATTCAACCGGGAAGGCAGTCAAATGATTTTTTGAAGATAACTACGCAGTTAAACAACGCAGTACATTTCGGAAAATCATTTGACTGCCTTGCCGATTTAATTTTTAGCTGAAATTTGATATGGGTAAACTAGGCTTAATGAAGAAGATGCTAAAAAAATTTCATCAAAAAATTCAACCGGGAACCGCCCCAATTGGCGACGACCGGGCAGAACCTCCTATATGAGGGGCTAATTGAACACTTTAAGTTAGTTCATGTACCTATTTGACCCTTTAGCCTAAATAAAATTGCAGAACTTTCTTTTGTTTTTTTTGGTATGAAATGTAAGAATAAGAATTACTAAGGCATCCGGATTCACCTAAACGTTTAGTATTAGTGTGTCCAACCTTGTCAAAACAAACTAGAATTGATTCTTCAAAGGTTCTGTATTGAATATTACTAATGACCCTTATAACTATTAAAAGAGATAAATGTTAGTTAAGAAGTTGCCTGAAGCAGACATAGGAATAACAATAATAATAGTATTAAAGTAATAATGATAATAATATAAGGTTTCCCCGCTCATATACACTCCCACCGTAAAACATCATGTCGGAAAACTAAAGAATAAACTGAAAACTAAGTAATAAATGGCTCTGATACTATGTGAAATAATCCGTATATGAATCTAATTCTTATTCATATTTTAAGATATTCCAGCAATAGCTATAACTAGGGTACAACTAGATCTAACTACAAAAAGTGGGTTGAGCCCAATATTTAGGGTTTCAATATGTACTTTGAAATGGTTTGGTGCTGCATCATGACTAAACATAGGGCTGGACAAAAGGAAGACAAGATTCCATGAAGGGGACAGTTTACTCCATAAAAAACTACATAAGAAACATTCATAAATTTATACATTTAAAATCTTTTCAACAAAAATGAGTAATTTTGAAACCACACACATGGGGACTTTCAAATCCCAAAAGGATGACATTGAGCCCCAATTCTACAGTATAGTCCCATTAGCCCTTCTTTGGTCACAAGTTAACAACTTCGTAGACAGAGTTGAGACAAAAAAATGAGATTCCAACTAAGTGATTCACAGATTCAGTCATTTTCAAGATTTAACATGAATATGTACTTTGAGGATATCATATGTCATTGCAGTTAAAAAAAATTAATAATCCAACTAGATTTGACTTTAACAGAGGTCATTTAAACTAACCTCAGGAAAATTATGTTTACCCGTTTTCTTAACCAATAAAGAAATTACAAAAGTGAACACTGACTGTGATGTAAAAAATGGAATATGAATGTCTGAGGCATACATAGCTAGGGGAGGTTAAATCCAGGCTCTTTCCTTCCCATGTATGACCAAAAACTTTTGTTCTATGGGAACTATTAAGTATAAATGTTTATATGAAGGATTTCTTTTCAGTCCACCCCAAATTTGATTTTTTTGGCAGCCATCACTCTGCCAGTGCTCTTTGGTGAAAGCTCTCCTTTCAGGCAAAGCTATATGGCACTACCAATCGGATAGCATTTATAATGTGCAATATAAAACACATATAAAATGATATTTATCTTGCAAATACTTGCCTGGCTTGCAGGTCGTAGTGAGGGAACATGACCTTCATTTGTCCTGCTGTTCACACGTTGAAGATAGGCCAAGTCTACAGAATGTTGATGCTGTACTTCTTGGATATGGGTTTCCTTCAAGCACATTTCATCACAAAAACTGTCATTTTTTTGTATTTCTAGTGCCAAACCATCTTCCCTTCCTGCAAAAAAAGGAAACATAGGCACAATTAAATGAATCTCAATGAATAGATATATCGCAAACAGCCAAAGAGTGTAGTTTCCAAAAGCACTACTAGGTGCTCAGATTTTAGGTTCCTAACTTGATTTAATCTAGCCGCTCTATTCACCCTTCTTCTAAGAATGTTAGTTCTCATCTTCTTCTTTGCTTAAACAATGTCTAAAAGTTGTTTTGATGCTCGTATGAGCGGTGTTTTGTTACCTAGTTTATCTAGGGTTGTTATTATCCTGTCAATTTTGACAGTCACTTTATGGGTGATTTCTGTTTGAATTAGTAACGTGAGTTGCTGCAGGATGCTATATTGTTGTTTTATTGCTATTGAAGACAATCTTCCAGGCGAAGATCTACTTTTCTCAGAAGTCATCTTTTTTCTCAAATCATCTATGGCGCTACCGATGGCTCGCCCCCCTTCCGAACCACCATCATTGATTGGAAGAGTGATTCTATATTTTTATCACACTGGTGCATTTCAGATTGGAATAAAATCCATTGATGTTCTGTCGAGCGAGACATATCTACAGATCTATGGGAATCAGCCAATCAGGTGAGGGCGCTACGACTACATGATTGGATGAGGATGGCTAGTTTCATACTGGGTTAGAAGCATAGAGATCGACATGATCAAATTAAGTTTCCATTTGTCCATTACATGGTTAGAGACTTTTGCGACTCGTTTGTGGGTGACAAATTCTAAGTCTAATCATTGGACTTCTGATTGAGGGTTAAATTACCTTGAGTCTATTGTAATGATGTTTGATTTATTAATTTTAATATAAGAAGTTTTCATTAAAAAAAAGGAATTACTAGGTGTTTATGAGTCAACCGGTAATGCAACCACAGCAGAGGGAGGTTTAGTAAAGTACAAACCTGACCACAACTACTTCTAAAAAATACAGCTCACGGCCTGCTTACCCTACTAGGTCTTACTTTCAATATTTGGCCCAAGGAGCTTGTGTACGAAGCAAAAAAAAAAAGTAAATAAAAGTCAAACTTTGCTGATTGATTTGGCATGTATTGGAATAAGATTCACAAATAGGAAAGGAAATAGGAACGCCTCCCCTATCTTGACTTCCTCACCGAGAATGACAAGTTTGACTAGACGGGGAGAGCCTTTACAAGACTTACTATGTCTAGTTTAGCGTGGCGAAGGGGAGGTATGAGATTTTCATGTTACCTTTTTTGAATAGATTGGAGAGAGGATTTTAATGTTATGTTGTTTGGTCCATGAGCGAAGATGAGGGAGTAACATATATACAACTTTAGTTTTATCATTATAAAAAAAGAGAAATTATAATAAACTATAGTAATATATTCATTTAGAAACAATATTTAAACATATTTTAAAAATATGGCTTAATTACCACACATTCTTCAAAGTAATGTGGCCATGAGTTCAAAATTTGATAAATATTCTTGCCAAGTGTAACCCTTATTTGTAAAAGAAGCAAACCAGCATGAGTCACTTTCACAGATTTTGAGCCAACATAGCATGCTAGCAGGACACATTTTACCTACATGAACTTTCACCAAATTTGTATTTAGAACTGATAGCTTATCAAGAATTGGGTAGATCACAAAATTCGTGAGGAAATGAAATTTTGTAATAATATTAATGCAAGACTCAGTAATAGTGTTAGATAAAGCTATGGGGGGTGTTTTCAGGCAAAAACAGAAACTTAAAATTACCAAAATATGAAGATAAGTTACAACAATAATGCCACCCTTCCCACTCCCCCAGTTTTGGAGGGCACACTTTAACAAGGTAAGTAGGGCAACCTGCCCCCCCCCCACCCAACAAAAGAAGAAGAAAACAATATGTGAATGATTATGACTATTGCCACTTAAACCATGAACATGTGATGAATTATAAATCAAACAACTGAACAAGGAAACAAATCATATAGATTCATGTATTAAAATAATCTTCAATTGCCAAATATGGCTTTATTTTATTTCCTTTGAGGGATTTCTTAACAATGTGAGAATTGCATTTTGTTTATTTATTTTTGTAGTTTCTTTTTTCTTAACCCTTGTGACCAAATAAAGGGGGTTTCTTTATTTAACAATATAAGCAAGAATGGTTTAAAGGAAAATCGAGAACTCTCAAAATTCCCAAGTGCATTTTACTTGTATATGTCAAAATCGTGTTCACTATGGGTCATCCGGAAACAGTCTTTCTATGCTTCTTTGTTATGAAGTAACAGTTAGTCCATGCAATTTTGGAAGCGATTTTCACAATGGGTCATCTAGAAATAGTCTCTCTGTGCTTTAGTACAGTAGTAAAGGGGTAAGACCGCGTGGCGCGTACATCCCACCTCCTCTTACCCCACCGTAGGTGGGAGCCTTTGCGGCACTGGGGTAATGATAATGATGATGATGATGTCAAAATCGTGTTCACAATCATGTCACGTGATGTGCAGTCATTTTTATAATCTCAATTTTGCATTAGGACATGATTATACATACTATATAAGTATATATAATTATCTCAACTCATTGTTGTCTCTCTTTAGTCTTTACATTTTTCATGCAAGTGAAGAGGACTTATATTGTGATAATTTTGGGCTTTCATTTCATTAATCCTTCTGGAAAACTCTGGTGGACAAGCATCCACTGTAAAAGTTCTCCATTGTGTTTTCTTTTAGAATTATAATTATAACTAAATTTAGACAATTAGATGAAGTCATGAAACTATAAATTTCATGTTGCTAAAACTAAGGTAATTGAGATTAAGGTGATGGTGATAATGCTTCATTATCGTATTCATTACATCATCATTAGGCCTACTTCTATTTACATTCCAAAATCCATTTACACTCTTAATCGCACTAACCACCTTCATCGCGCATTGGTGCAAACCATGCCTCAAGAACATAACAATTTTGTTTTGTTAATGGGTATTGACACAGATGTGCTAAGAACTCCAAGATGTAATTCATGACATCCTCTGCCAGAGTTGATATTTGAATTCAAGGATTGGGTCCAACCACTTTCAAGTAGGATGGATAACCTCGTTAAGTATAGAGAAGTTCTCTACATAGAAGGAAAACATAGGAAAGTTCCTCAAATAGGACCACTATTAATTTCTTCCTAAAATATGATTCACTCAATCATACAAGAGGGAGATTTTATTGTTTATTCTTTTACTATGACTCCTAATTTGGGAATAAAACATAAGTAGTCATATTTTTAAACTTTGTCCATGTTTTACTACTTAAAGGTAGTAGTAAAACTATTGTTCATTCATTTTACGAGCTTGCCTAATATGAAACCCATGTCTATTGAAATGCAGTTTCTTTGGAGATGAACACGAGCAATAATTATTTAAGGCAAAAAAGGACAATTGACGAAAATTACAAAGTGCACTTGTAACAATGTTCAGCAATTCTCATTTGCTGATGTGAATTATGCCTCAAGAACGAAAGAATGGGTATTTGTTGACAAATGTTAACATAAAAGAGTGAACATGATATTTTAATGAATTCCATTGAGACATTTTGTATTAGTTCAGTAGACAACCCAATTAATATTAGATTAAGGCTTGGTTATTGTTGTTAGGGGCATGTTGACATCAGCACGCCAAAAATGACCGAGATGAAGTTTGCTCTCTCCACACCTTTAGCAAAAACGGGGATCTTATGCCACTCACAGTCGAACTCAAAGATTAGGCCTTGGCAGTTCGAAACATTATTGGCAACCACATCAAATATGTGGTCTTGTTGGAGATCGAACTTCCTTCCCTTGGAAATGCCTCAATCAAATTACCACCATTTCATCAAAGTGTCAGCATCACTTCCAACCCGTACAAATCAAACATATTACACCAAATGGGAAGTCCCCAATTTCAAAGGCAAAGAAAGTCATGTGGACAAATGAGAACTCTGCGTAGACACTTTCACAACTAAAGATGCCCATGATTTCTCACATTCATTTAGGAACACTCCACGCCTGTGTCTTTCAATTTTTTGTTTGGTTTTATCCAATGAGCTGCAGTACTTCATTCTAAGACTCAGCAAAATGGAAACATGGCATGCATATCAAGGAACACGCAGAATCGTAGATTAGTTTTGCCAAGAAACGGTAATCACTCTGTCATGAACGGGGGTGATGAAGCATGAAATGATGAAAGTGATACAAGTGGTGCACAATTCATGGTTCAAGACCAAATACGGTAGCAGATAATGGGAAGTGATTATATTTGACTGTTAATTAGGATTTTCTTTTCCTTCCTTTAAAATGTGTGTTATATATATGGGTGCTTAAGTGCCTTGCATGTTTTATTCTTTTCCTTTTTGGCAAGGCTTCAAACCTTGTAACTCTTATCAATATAAAGAGGTATTCTTTGTTTAAAAGAATAAGGAAAAATCAAGGTGGAGGGAAACCACTAAGAAATAACCAAGTGTGTTTTGATCTCAGATCTCTCTCTATCCATCCCAGTGTCTATTATTACATCATCAATCATAATTTCTATTCACATTCCCAATTACCTTTACACCCATAGTGATGCTCACCATCTACATTCACCGGCTGATGCAAATCATGCCCCGGGAACATAATAGCTTGATCAAAGTTTTAGGGGACACCTACCAGTAACCTTAATGGTACAGAGGTTCAAGTATTAGAAGATGGAAGCCACCTTGTAAACTTTTGGTAGTTTGAGGACTTGAAATTCAGAATGCCATGATAACTGACAAAGCTACTTATCAAATGGAATTTAAAAAAAAAAGTTAGTTGTTCTTCTGTCCTTATTCAAACGCCAAAAGAAGGAACGTTTTTCGAACTTAACATCGGTTTCCGAATTATATAAAAGAGTAATCAGGATAAACTACCCTGCTAAACTATGCATTTCTAGCTTGAGAATTAAAAGCTTTCGGTTGACAAGATATTTGTGAAACACTTACAAGAGCCGAGTTCTTCCACAAGTTAAATGGAGTATGTTGAAAGAATGAAGAGAAAAAATCAATAAAGATTATATAACATTAATGAAATGGTACTTCATGGATTAAAATAGAGTATGACTGTATGACTTTGGAGAGAGCGAAGTGGGAGAATATACTATCCTCCGTTCTAAATTAATTGCAACATAGCAACATGGCACACATATTAAGAAACATTGATAAAGTAATTGCTTTCCACTTCTGCCAGTGTGCAACCGTAAATAATTCTCTCATTCTCACCCTCATATGGCCGAAAAAGTACCATCCACACACAGTAAAGTACAACTACAGCAGTCCAAAAATCAAATCTCAGGAACGATTGTCTAGGCTATAAGAGAGCTACCTCCTGGTTGAAATCTGGAATCTCCATTTTTGCATGAAGAATTCCTTCAACTGGGGAGAAGACGCCTTCCGGTAGGTTACTCCCAAAACCAATCAAAGCCTCACTTTCCCCTCCTACTGCTTCGTGTTTTCCAGCCTTTCAGTCACACTTGATGAAGGATAAGAATCTGACCAGGTAAAATCGCTCGACTAAATGCTTAATTTTGGAAATAAAGAAAAGAGATTTTGATGAACAGTATGAGAGAGAAGAAGCAAGAAGAAACTAGATGGTGATGAATGGAAGAAAGTGGGTGGAGTACTGGCGTGCGATAAGGAGTGGATGGATATTAAAGAGAGAGAATAAAAGAAATGATGTATACGGATGAAATTACAGAAGGGGATCTTGGATGAATGTATACGGATGAAATAGGGATATTAAAGAGAATTGCACATATTTTTGTATCCTAAAATAGATGTTTTGCATTTTGAAACTTCCCAAAAAGGAAAGTGTTGCAACTAAAAAGAAACGGAGGAAGTAAGTGTGAAGGATTGATCTTTTTTAATCTTTTTTAACTCCAGTTTCATGTGTCAAATCATGTTAGCCGACCCAAACACTTTTGGGACTAAGGCTTGGATTTTGTTGTTGTTGTTGTTGATATCACAATAACATATTGAAACAAACCTGAGGTGTCACACCGTGCAGAAGCAAAAAAAAAGATTGTGAACTAAAGGCAGCTAATGGAGACCATAGATAGAAATCATACCATCTAAGACTTCAAGGATACTTTTGTCTAACAAGGCAATCTTCTCTTCTATGCAGCGTTTCTTATTACACTGCCAACAAGAACAACAGAAATGACCGTTTTTATATCCAAAAGTTAGCTCCAAAAAACCTATTGATATGGCTGATTTGCATTTTAAATGGAACACTAGAGAGGACAGATTGAACAGACAACTTATAATTTTAGTTTAGTAAGTGAAACATATAAAGTATAAAAATTTAATTTTTGTATAACATTGAATGTCCTTCTTGACTTACTTTCCATTTCAAGTGAGTATATGCTTTAGTATTTAAATTGAGGTGTTAGGCATTTGATGCTTAAATCGAAGAGAGAAAAGTATGCTTACCCTCCCCCAATCTTCATTGTATTAACATTGGAATCTAGGTATGTTACTATGGTCTAAGAGTTAAGGTATACTACATCCACAGCTGACCCACCCTCACAAACCCATCCAAATAACAGGTTTTTTAAACCCATACTATGATTATTGTGCATCGTCATCAGTAGCACATAACTCCAAGCTAGTTGAGGTCAGTGACATGAAATATATAGTTCTGATTATCTCTCAACATTAGTTAACAGTTTAACACCACAAATTTATACAACAAAAAAAACATATAGTTGCAATGTTTTACTCTGTATGCCCTTTGTGTTGTGACCTCTCAAAAGAATAATGATGAGTTCAGTGGTATGAAATATATAGTTCTGATTATCTCTCAACATTAGTTAACAGTTTAACACTACAAATTTATACAAACAAAAAAAAAACAAATAGTTGTGATGTTTTAGTACGGGTGCCCTTTCTGTTGTGACCTTTTCTCAAAAGAATAATGAATACAACAGTCAACTTTTCACATTTGCCAATGCACAACTTTGACCATTAATATATATTTAATTTTCTATTAAAAAAAATAAAAAATCAAATTTTGAAAATTCACAATGAGACTGATAGGTTTTGGTAGTATTTCAGAGAAAAGTAGCAGAGATTAAAGGAGTTAAATGGATCGAAGAGATGTTTATTGAAGAAAGAGAAACTGTCCAGGGAGAATACAAGCCAGGGGACTATTCGAGGGCCCAACCTCCAAGCCAAACCAAAACCAAATAACAGCCTGACTTCCTTAGCTACCCTCCACTTCTATTTATAGTAACAGTCCACGCAGGGACCAAACAAACAACTAGTTAGCTATTTCACCCCTTAGACACCTTATTTCTCTTATTCTGCCCCTTAATAAAGTACTGACTAGGCTGATTCCTATCAATACTCCCCCCCTAAACAACCACCTTGCCCTCAAGGTGGGTGATAGGAGTCAGCCATGATCTTCCACTTGCACTTCATTCTTGCACTTCTCCCTTCCCAATACTTCAGCTCGGATAGTCTTCTTCGTTTTGGTGTCCACTCACTCTCTTTGTCAACATAGGGTTCCTTTTGGCCGAGGTTGTTATCTCCTTCACTGCCCCATGTGTGATCTCTTATAGACTTTCCAATGTGACTTACAAAGCCAGCTTCGGGACTGTTAGTCTCAGTCCTCATATCAGCAACCCATGAAGGTAAGATACTTCTCAGTACAATGCCACCAGGCTCAATCCCAGTGCACCAGAATTCTCCCAGCAACTGCATCTTGTACCCCTCTTCCATTGTCTCATGATGAACGGCGCATTTGTACCTTCCGGAGTACAATAAGTTTGCTGCCTCAACCGCATGTTTCTCACCAATCATAACTACAATGACAGCAGTTGGGAGCACGTAGTCATGCATCTCCTTGGTTGAGCTGGGATGACACCTCAATAGAGAGTAGGTAGGATACTTGTTCAGTCTCTTTTCAGAGACTGCCATATCAGCAACCATCCACAACTCTTCTACCATTTGATACCCTCCCATATCAACCGGATAAGGCGTGGAAGTGTCAATCTGACTTTGAACTTCAGTATCTATTTGAAATTGAACTTCACCGGGTTCACCATCAACACGTTTAGAAACCATTTGAACACTCATTTCTTTCTCTTCAATTTCAGCATTTCCCCCAAGGCAAGGGATGATTTCAACCTTCATTTTCTGAACAACATCATACTTTTCTTTAATTGCAAATGAAACTCTACGCAACCTTTCACTCAAGTTCAGCCAACTAACTTGATCCACGGCATCCTTTGCACAAAAGATATAAAGGTGGACTGCAACCTTTTGCCCTTGTCTATAACCTCTATCTTCAGCCTGTAGCATGTGTGTAGGTTTTCTTGGCAGTTCCATAAGGACAAGGTTTTCTCCCAGAAGCAGGGCCATACCCATGAAAATGCCCTTGAACATCTCTGAATCCTTGAATCTCAAAGAAACTACCACCAATTCATAGCTCTCTTCATCTGATGCCTTTCCATTTGAGTATATTTGAGAATTAGGGAATAGCAGGGACACATTTTCATTTCCTTTCCTGTCAATAATCAATATTCCAGTCTTAGTAACGTTCTCAGGTACCACCTGAGGTGTTCTCCTATCATCTTTGAATTTTCCAGCCAAAGGTATGAGAGCAAAAGAAATAGCAGAACTCTGGAAAGTTCCTATCCTTCTGGCAGCAACAATCTCTTCACAATGATTGATCTTATTCCCTTCCATCCTCATTCCAGGATCAATGTAAGCAAGAGTTCCATCCTGAACAGCAAATTTGGGAGGTTTCATATATCCACTACACAAGTAAAATGCCTGTCCCATGCCTACAGCTTGATCATAGCTCAAACTATCAAACTTGTTCAGTCCTTCCCAATTAATGTTTGATGAATGATGGTACAACATTGTAGAACTGTTAGTTTCCAGGTCTAGCTTGACGAACTCGTACTTGGAGAAGGTTTCAGGTCCAGCTATTGCACCAGCTTCAGGCCCAGCGATCACGGATACTGGTTCCTCGAGTTCATCTTCGCCTTCAGTGAACTTCTCTGCCTTTTCTTCAAACTGTGAAGTACTCCTATCATTCGAAGAAGGTTGCCGCCATTTAACAGACCCCAAACTGAGCGGTGAAACTCGCGAAGTGTGAGAAGCGGCTAGCATTGATGAACTGTGAGATGCGGTCAGCAATTCAGAAGAGACCTGAGACAAAATGAAGGACGATGCTGACTGCGACGATTTCTGCGAACTACTGTGAGAAACGACTGGCGATTTTGAAGAAGTTCGCGATTGCGAGTTGGGAGCTGCTACGCGCGATGCCGTCTGCGCAGTTGGCAACGACAATCTGGCAGAAGTTGTTGACGACAGCGAATGATGGTGAGGATGAGATCGCGATCTCCCTCGCTCGCTCTTAGCGTCCATCATCCCCGTCAATCGTTCCATCATCGTTTCCATCTTAGCTTCCAATCGCAGCAACTTTTCTTTCATCGCTACCTGACTGCGTTCAACCGCTTCAATCCTCTGTTCCATTTTGGCCCTAGTCCAAACCATTCACAGCTTCGAAAAAAAAAAATTCTGGATTGCGTCACTTTTCTGATTACTGTTGCGATCACCAGAAACGTAATGCTCTGATACCAAATGATAGGATTTGGTAGTATTTCAGAGAAAAGTAGCAGAGATTAAAGGAGTAAAATGGATCGAAGAGATGTTTATTGAAGAAAGAGAAACTGTCCAGGGAGAATACAAGCCAGGGGACTATTCGAGGGCCCAACCTCCAAGCCAAACCAAAACCAAATAACAGCCTGACTTCCTTAGCTACCCTCCACTTCTAATTATAGTAACAGTCCACGCAGGGACCAAACAAACAACTAGTTAGCTATTTCACCCCTTAGACACCTTATTTCTCTTATTCTGCCCCTTAATAAAGTACTGACTAGGCTGATTCCTATCAGAGACAAATTTAACAATGTTTTTTTAAAAAAAAATTATTAATAAATAATATTTAGTCAAGGTATAACATGTGAATAGTGCAAAAAACAACATGTTGCATTTATTAAAGAACGGAGGTAGTATATAAGTTCCTGCACTTTCATATATTTAGAATTTAGAGTATTCCTAATCCGAGCCTCTTAAATGCAAATACATTTACTCATTTTCATTTTCATTTTCATTTACCCCAGTGCCGCAAAGGCTCCCACCTATGGTGGGGTAAGGGGGGTCGGATGTACGCAGTCTTAACTCTGTACTAAAGCACAGAGAGGCTGTTTCTGGATGACCCATAGTGAAAATCGCGTCCAAAATTGCATGGGATGATTGCTACTTCATAACAAAGAAGCGCAGACAGTTTAGTGAGCCATTTTGCTTTATTCCATCATATTCTCAAGCCAAAAAATAATGAATCTTTGGATCCATTGCAAATGATGCAAATACATTTACTGCTCGGCATTAAATCTTCAGCACATATATTTATTAAAACAATTTGTATTATACCTTATGAATAAAAAATATGGTGCAGAGGTTCTAGCAGTTGCACAAGCAAATTAAAAAAATTGCCTCATTTGGTTGGATATCATGTTCTTTATCTAGAGTATTCAGCCATAATAGACATTATTGCTACTTTAAGAAGATCACCTGGACAGGAACCATATATCATTCTTATTTTTCCTTTATTTGAATAAAGAAATGTTTTGGCTGCAGATTGAGCCATTTGCAATATGAATGAAAAGTAGCAAAAAATTCTAGTAGGCAATGCATGCATGTCTCTGTATATTAAAGAAGAAGACAAAAAAATTACCAGTGCCTCGTTTTCCTTGGAGAGGACACCAAGTGCTGTCTGCAATGATGAGTTTCCCTTAGATGCTGAAAGAATTACTTTCTCAGCTACCTCTGCCTGAAAACCATGTAAGCATTCATTCAATGTCATTAAGTTGATTTCAAGATTAATGACAACTATGACAGTAGTAGCGGTTGTGCAAAATCTGGTGGGAAATGACATTGCATCTTCAACTATGGATGCACATGTAAGCATCAAGATTTCAGATTGCACATATAAGAATCGGAATGTAGTTTCTGAAATAAGTGAAAACTGCGACAGGAATACCCACCATGCAAAATTTAGAGGTGAAGAGGTGTGGAATGAAATTGCATCCTCAAAGATAAGGGACACTGTCATCCAGGTGTTAAAAATGCTCAAATAATCACGACAACCATAATGTTAGTGAAAAGAATGAAATTTATGACAGGAGTTCCTGTTATGGAAAAGCTGATGGTGTTAAGGTAGTGAGTGAAAAGAATGAAGTTTATGACAGGAGTTCCTGTTATGGAAAAGCTGATGGTGTTAAGATGGAAGATATAAGCATCATGATCAAGGAAAGCTTAAATAACCTTTCGAACATTGTTTTGTCCTGTTAAATGAATAGTGTAACAGAGATACAAATTATGCAAAATCTAGTGCAAAAGAGGTAAGTGCTAGCGCTAGGAGAATAGACAAAGAGAAGATATCAAATATAAAAAAGAGTTCTGACAACAACTTGTTCATATTTGCTTTTGTCATTATAAGATAAGTAAGTGCAACTATAAAGTTTGTGAAGCTCTCCAAGATAAAAGTGTTTATGTTGACTTTAAATCAATAAATGAAGGGACAGAGCTGTTAAAACTATTAAAGACATCTAGTGAAGTTGTGAAATTTAACAATCCCCATTAAAGTTGAAAAGTTATGTCTTTTATGTGTAACGCGTTATAGAATATTATGTCATTTCATTCATTGCCATTACACCAAAGGAATTTCCATAACAACTTCTGTCTTAGTTCTCATTCATTTCACCAACCATGAGATTGCAATGGTCAAATGAGCAACCCAACATCTTGATGCTAGTACCCCATCTTTGAGGAAGCAATTTCATTCCCTAAATCTTTGCCGCTGGAATTCCCTTACTGGCAATAGTGTTTTGGTATTTATTTATATTACAAAACACATCATTATAGTTATTATCTGAGTGATAGGACATTTTGATGCTTATATATACAGCAATCTTTAAATATGCAATGTCATTTCTTACCTCATTACCACTAGATTTTGCACAATTGGTATTGTTGTCACAGTTCCCACTTTCTACACAAACCATATTGTCGCAGTCATTATCTAAGCAATCCAACATCTTGGTGCTTGTATCCCCCATCTTTGAAGATGTAATCTCACTCCCTATTTCTGTGTCACTAGATTTATGATAGGTACCTCCATCATGCTTCTTATTTATTTCACAAACCAAGTTGTGGTTATCTGTGGAACCCAACATTGTGATGTTTGACTCTCCCATATCTGGAGATGCATTTTCATCAGCAGACGGAGTGTTTTTACAAATTGAACTTTGCAAAGTGCTTGAGGCGGTCTCTCTGCAATCCAAACAGGTGCTTCATTAGCAAATATAACATGAAAATGGAGCAAACAGTCAATCACTGCATTGTGATATGGAATATTGGAATTCAATAAAACTTGTAATTAAAATTATTCCTGGTACCCTGGGTGCAAGGCTGACAAGATAGTGGCATAAGGAAGCAGCTGAAAATGCTCAACAACAGGAGTAGTAAAACACCAGATAGACCTCTTCACAACCAGTGGGCCCTGCAAGCTAAGGGAATGAAGAGCTTTATTATCAAAAGTCAAAACCAAAGTTCTGTATTTAATATAAATCATGTTAAAGTAGATAGTAATTTCATCTAAGAAAGACTTGAGATGGGGAATCTGCATGCCATACTTTCCAACTTCAGAGCAGCTAGCCAGCTAGTAGATGTCCTTACTAATGGTCTCTACACACAGAAGTTTGACGGAGCATAGTTTTTGATCCAGTTTGAGGGGAGTGTTGATGGTTTCATCGACTTACCTCTACATGTGTTTAGTGGGTAGTTAGTTCCTGGTTATTGGTGATCACTTGGTCTAGAGCGTAGTTTTCATTTTGCAACCTTACTGGAACATTGTTTTTCAATTATACTCCGTATTAGCTTTCAGTTTGCACTTTGCAATCAGGTGAGCACATTGGTATGATGGGATTACTAGACTCAATATTGTGTTAATGGGCTCTATATTTCCTTGATATAGACCAGGTCTATCGAGAAGTGGAGATCATTCAAGAGTTTATACACATAGTATATTGGTTTATGCAATCGGCATAATGTTTTATGTGGACATGGAGCCTTTAATTTAAGATTACCAGCATAATTACTACTCATGTTGAAGTCTATAATTTTGCATAGTTGTGACTCTGTAAGCAACAATAGGTTGTTAAATACTAGGTGCTTAGTAGTTACTCCCTCCATCCCTTAAAATTCTTCCCACTTACCTTTTTGGAAAGTTTTGTGTGGTTAATATTCATTTACCTTTTTCTTACTCAACCACAACCATACATTTCCACTTTATTCACACTTTCTTAAACTTTGATCCAAGTCAAACCGGGAAAAATTTTATGGAACGGAAGGAGTATATTGTTAGACATATTGACCTGTCAATAGTGTTTTTAGGAGAAAATATAAAATTTGGAGTTCATGGTTTACCATACTAACCTCTTGATAGTGCCTTTAAGAGAGATTATAAAATTTGGAGTTGGTTTAGTGCATTGCATTATGTAAAAGCAGGTGGTTGTCTTTGCTTTGCTTAAAGAATATACAATGTGCTTCCCCAAAACAGTAAGATCAGCTCGTTTAATACCTGCACAACATAAAGTGCACTATCATTGCAGCAGGTGAGGTCATCAAATCAGAAAACGATATTTCATCAGTACAATTTTACAGAGAACACGTGATTATGATTTTGGAAGGAAATGAAGCTACAAATACAATGTGATCAGATCAAGATAACAAACAGTTCAGACTCAAACTGGATAAGGCATAAATCTAGTTCTAGAATAACGGTCAAGCACTCAAGAATAGGTTAGCAAGTTTCTATCGTGGATAGTAAATCTTTTTTACATCACCTTTGTTGAAATTCATCCCTTTGGTCTCAGTAAGATTTTATTTAGGTAAACTGGGACATTTGCAAATCTGCACATCAACCCGGTGCCTCTGTTTTTTACAAATACACAGACAAAGGTGGGCCATGTAAATGGTACTCTTATTTTGCATTTATAGTTTGTATTGCTTTAAAACTAATACTCCATACTAGATTTAATTAGTATTCTGATTTGCATTTTTAGTTTTAATCACTCTAAAGAACTAATACGAAGTAGTATAAATAAATGGCACTCTATCTTGCATTTTTGTTGTTTCAAATGCTTTAAGAACTAATAGTCCATAAATATTCAAACAATTCAATAGTATATTATATTTTGTATGAAATTTGTTGAATATAAAATCTTTTACTTATATATCCTTGTACAATATAATTAAAGTAACACACAACACCCTTCCACAGGCTTGCTTAATCTTCCCCTGCTTGGACTGGATCTTGCCGCCTTGCCACATGTCAATTGTTTAGAACCTTACTTACAAGTAATACATGTAAAGAGAATCATAGAAGACTTTTTCTGTGATGAATATTTGCGAATAACATTGTATACTCTACTAAATAGCCGATTAGCAGGATAATTTGCAACATCAATCAAACTACCTGTTGCATCCTGAACTGCCAAAAATGCAAGCTGCTGCAATCTTGACTCGCTAGTTTTTGGTTCCCTTTTTAACAATGTTCCGCCAATTCGTTTTCTTTTATTCACATCTTTTGAATCACTGGCGGGGATTTCGATGCTTTTTTCAGGAAAAGACCAAACCCCTTTATTGACAGGACCAAACATCAGAAAACAGTTCTCCATATCAGAGTCCAGTAACAAAACAGAAACTTTTGAAATTTCCCATCCTTCTATTACGGGGTTAGTTTTGGATGCATCTAGAATGAGAGATAAGTTGCATGCATCTTGGATTGATCTTTCTACAATAGAGAGTTGCTTTTCACGGCCATCTAACTCCTCAGAATCTGACGGAGGCTTGGAGTTCAAATGCCAAGCTAAAACTGGCCTTAGTGTAACAGCCAATTTGCAAAATGCCTCAAAATCCAAATGCTCTTCTTGAGGAAACTGTTTCCGGTGGTAGTAATTGTACAGCAACACAACTGCATGCAGCTGAATCCAGGGGGGGGACAAGAAGATGAGAGACAGAAATTTGAGGCCACTTTCATATAAACAAATTCATAACAATTGAAGAGTCAACATGCAAAAAAACGTGCAGAAAGAGAGACGATCCTCAATGAACTTGTTGCAGTTACATAAGTTGAAGACAATTTCAAATTTTCAACATTCCAATAGATCTTGATCACCAGAAGTCAATCCAATGGGTTTAGATCTTTTAAAAGATAAACAATCATCATTATTACCCCAGTGCCGCAAACGCACCCAACTTTGGTGGGGTAAGGAGGGTCGGATGTACGCAGTCTTATCCTTGTACTAAAGCACAAAGAGACTGTTTCCGGATGACCCATAGTGAAAATCGTGTCAAAAATCGCATGGACTGACTGTTGCTTCATATCAAAGAAGCGCAGACAGTTTAGTGGGCCATTTTTCTTTATTCCATCATATTCCCAAGCCAAAAATAGTGAGTCTTTGGCTCCATTGCAAATGATGGAAAGTTTTAAAAGATAAACAGTGTGTAGAAATTATGGCTGCAAGAAGTTAGTAGCATTTTGGATAATTACTCAAGAAATCAACCGTAGATAAACAAAGATGGCTGCACTTGGTTGACAACAATCTTAAAAGTGCAGTCCCTTCTATGATCATGAAGAAGTTGAGATTAATTCAAGTCCATTAACATAAGGTGGAGTTCTCAAGTGCCACACAAGCTATAGGACTCTTAATTCACTAAAGAAAAGGAGCTTAATATTCTTGTCAGTAACAAGGCTAGTTTAGGAAATGCTGCAAAATTCAACATCCATGAAAATGAATGAATTGGCTAGATCAGGAGAGCAAAATAAAAATGAAAACAAGCAATCAATACAACAGCGTGATAGGCTAAGATGTCGCATTACTAGTGTAGGGAAGTAAATAAACCTGTTTAGCTACTGATTGTTGTTTATCGATAGGCGGATCTCCTGGTGGGATATGATATACTGGCAAGAGAGGCCCCACCAATAAACGCAGCAGCGTTTCCACTACATCTTCCTTGCGGGAAATCACAAGCCCGGATGCATCCATTTCTGACATCGTTAAAAGCCACAAAAATTAAATCCAAGTTATTGAAACAAACCAACTGCTCTTTTTTAGTTCATGGAAGTGAAAATTAGCTGATTGAGCCTCAAAGATGTCCAGAAAAGGTACAAATTAGAAAAACGCTTTCTCTGCTTACCTCGATCGATCACTGGCGAGCCCGGACGAATAGAAAATGCAGACGTCGACGGGAAGTATGAAGAATCAGTTGGAGCAAAAAAAATGTGCGGGGTGAAGCGGAACGGTCTACCAGTCCTACGCCAGGAACTTTGAGTGGGACTGAATGCTGTTTAGTGTGAGCTTTCTGTAAGATTTATTATGGGGTTTAAATAAACGTGTCTTTTTCGGTAATGGGATCTACCAGTAATTAATAGCGCATAACTAAATACTACGTATTTGACTTTTTGATAATACACGTCAGTGATTCAGGTTTAGTGAACCGTAATAATGTTGCTTAAATGACATGTGCACGTATATCGTAGGGGTAAAATAAGTGGTGCTTGGATCTGACTCTTTCATCAGAAGCAGAAGTTTGAGTGTTTAGGTGAAAATGCAGAAGTGATTATGATGCTCTAATTTACTTCTAGAATCAATTTTTTTGGTGTTGGAGAATTGGAGAGACAAAGGGAGTCTACTTCGATGCTAAGGAATCATTGCTGCTACTGATCTCAGATAAGTTTTATATTAAACTCGAATAAGTATACACTTAAAAGAAATAAACACACACAAATGAATATTGAGCACATTAGAGCATCTACATCCATGATACTGAAATAATCAGATTTTTTAATGACACGTAGATTTTTTCAAAATAAATCTCACACTTTGTAAATTACATCATGGGAAAACTATCAAATAAGCTCATGTACTGTACCGAAAAAGTCAATTAGGCCCTCGTACTTTACAAACATTCAATTAAGTTCTCGAACTATTAAAAAACATTCAATTAAGCTCTGTCAGTCAGTAAGTAACTGGTTTCCCGGTTAAATGTAACCTGTCTCCCGGCAACCGTCGTTGCTGGGGTTCGAGCACATCGTCACTGTCGTCGCCGTTTAACCGGGAAACCGGTTACTTACCGACCAAAATGGCATAATTGAACGTTATATAATAGTTCGAGGACTTAATTGAGTGTTTGTAAAGTACGAGGGCCTAATCGACTTTTTCGGCATAGTACGAGGGCTTATTTGATAGTTTTCCCTTACATCATTTATCATCTCAAAATAATCAGATCTTTTGTGGGTCCTGCACTCCCTAATTAATACTCGGTTCACAATAATCTTGAGATAATCCGGATTCATATTTCAATCCCGGATTATTTTGTCAAATAATCTCACCAAATAATCTTTATCACTCAATCATGATCTCAAAAATAATTTGCCACATCACCAACTTAATCCTCTAATAATCCTATGAATGGAGATGCCCTTAGAAATGAGTTTTATGTTAAACTCAAATGAGTATAGAATCCAAAATGAATGAGCATGCACAAATGAATTTTTTTTTTTGAAGAAAAAGGGATTTGACTAGGTGATTGTGTATGTACGGTAGAATTTTCCTATTTAAAATCAATCAAATTGTCAAATACTCCATTTTGAATGATGTTTCTATTGAATTTTACATGTGAAAGTGTGACTATAATTAATTATTTGTCACTAGAATTTACGCTACAATTTGAAATTGAATGTAACTATATTCACTCGAAATTAATATTGAGATTATTGTGTATTAGAGAACATATTTTTGCTTACTTTTCATTTTATTTATATAGTCGTTCATCGAAAGCGGTCTTACTTCAATGTATTTATATTTCTCTCTCCTTCCCTTTTAGGACATTTGTTAATTTTATTTTGTTTCTCAATTTAGCGAGTCCTTTTAAGAAAATGAGGCGTATACATAGTAATATCATTATGCTTCTAATTCCATTTAACATAATTAAATTATAATCACCATTAATTTGTATGCGGTCATTAATTTTATTATAATTGTTTTTGTGTAGTACTTTCCCATAGAATACTTCGACAATTACGTGTCACTCTATCTATTCACGGTGTTGCCACTCTACATATGTATGTATTAGTATTGTAGTGAATCGATTTATGTTCTCACCAACCTACCACCATTCACCGTCTAAAATTTAAATTTTTACTATTTATTGCATATTTGACAAATTTAAGTCATTGACTTTTATGCTTGTTTACTATGTGTCTATTTGAAATAACTAGCTAAAATAAACATTTTGTATTGTTAGTAATTATTAGTTTGCAGCAATGTTCTAAAAATCGGCCTAGTCGGACTATTAATCGGCCTAGTCGACCAAAAAATAGCTAATCGGCCTAGCCGGCCAAAAAATCGGTCTAGTTGGCCAAAAGAACGGTTTAATTGGCCGCCTAGGTGCTAGACGCTCCTCAACTGCCTGACAAGCGCCTAACAAGTTTTAGAACAGTGGTTTGCAGTGATTCAAAATTATTGATTTTAAAAAGATGTGGAGGCCGTTTGGAGCTCTAGAAATAGGCTTATAAGCCTGAAAGCAGAAAAAAGATCCCCAGACACTTGCTGAATTGGCTACTTGAGTTGTTTTTTATGATCAGCCGGAAAAACAACATAATAGTAACTTTTTGGGCTGTTTTTTATTATTGCACTGTTGAAGATTAAAAAGACCTGCTTCTCCCTTCTATAGTGACTTACGTTGTTTTCAGTTGCCTATAATTTAAACAAAGCTGTTCACGTATATATTGTTAAGTAGTGGGGTACTCCGTATATTTTATTGTTTTTTACTTTGAAGTGAAATTTAAACAAACTCCAATAAATACTCAATCGTATTTTTTGTTTGCTTTTATTTTAATTTATTAAGTGTATGTGAGCTTTTAATATCCGTATACTTTATGGAAAGTGTATTTTTAAAATTAATTTACTCATTTTTCAACAAAAAGTAATACTAATGTGTAAAAAAAATCCAAAGTAATAATTAATCATGTAGTTTTATACTCATCTAATTATAATCAAGAAAACTTAATTTACAAGCAACACACCCATATATCTAATACCTTTTATAGTAATTTTACACTCAATCAGCCATTTCAGTCAACATATTACCAAACGCTTTCACTTCAGCACATTCAGTCTTTTAAGTCTTTTAAGCCTATTAAGCCGTTGTCGTGGTTACCAAACAGGCCCGTGATCGGCTGACAAATCTAAGTCATTGATTTAAGTTTTGTTTGCAATAACAAGCCGTTCGTACTAATTAAATAATACTACAAGTTATAAACTTTTTGTATAAGCTAGTTAGTGTAGCTTCTGGAAAAAATCTTTTTTTGTAAAAATAGCTCTTGAAATTTGTCTTGTTAGACATTAAAAAAATGATCTTTGAAACTTTTTAAAAGAATCCTCTCATTTTTCTATTACTGTTGTGTGTACCCGTGCACCACACGGTAAGATATATTTATTTTTTTACTGAAATTTATAGAGACGGGGGATTGTATATAATTAGTCAATCAAAGTTTGAAAGAGAACTCCATTGACTATGTATACACGTCAAAATGACTCGAACTCCACCGGGCTTGCTCGTTTCATGGTGAATTGTGTTTTAATAACTTGATTAACTTTGGGGTTTTGCGGGTCAACATGCAGAGACTGTGGATTAACTATACCGCTTGTAAGTTGGTCAAAATATAAACATCTAGTTTTGACTTTCACTATCTTAATTATTGTTTGTTTACGATAAAAATTATTTGTTGTTATGTACTTACTAGCAGCTCACTCGTGCGATGCACAACAAAAAAATTATACATATAATGATATAATTAAAAAAACATTCTCAAAAAGCATATTGTTGCATCAATTAAAACCAACATTAGATCTACAAAATTTGAAAAACTTCTTTGTAGACAATATTTTAGTCTGTGTTTGCTTTGCTCCTCACCATCCACTAACAAAATTTAAAAACTTTATTAGTTGTAATTTTTTGTCAAATCCTAGAGTTTATAATTTTTTTAAAAACATACCCGTTCATTACATGATCAAATATTTTATTCAAATAATAATTACAATAAATAAATTAAAAAGGTTTACATAAAACTAACATATAACCACAAAATGTCAATGTTATAAAATATTGTACCCATGAAGTACTAGTTAGAAATATACAAAAAAAAATCGTAAATGAATAAAATCTCATTGTATAACACAATTTATATAGCAACACTTCATTGTACACACTAATTTTGATCTTGTTTGTGATTTTGTTGTCACTCTCTACAAATAAAGAAGGCGTCTGGAAGAGTAAAGTGGGTTTGATCAGGCTGAAAATTTGTAAAAATAGTTACCCTTCAATGGGCTACTGTGTTTTTCAACTTTTGGCTTAAAAAACCCTGACATGAGTGTCTTCAAATGACAGATTCTGTTTAAATTAATCACTTAAAAGTTAAAAGTTGGAAGCGGGTTGAGAGATGCTTTTAACTACTTTTCACTTTTTCTATTGCACAAAAAACACATATTCTATCAAGCACTACCAACTTTTACTTTTTCATAATCATTTTTTCTCAAACACTCTCAACTTTTATTATTAATTACTTTTCCCAAAATCACTTTAAAAAATCACTCTTTAAAAGTAGAAGCAATCGCTCCCTTACTCGGCTTCATATTGGTTGTGGTAATTCTGGGTATGAAAAGACAATTCTTTGTGCTCTATTCCCTATTCAAGTGTTCTATGTTCTCTATGAAATTCATCAAAAAGCTTTTCTTTATGGTTATACTTTGACCACAATGTTGGGTTCCTGATTCTTCTTGTTCTTCCTTTCTTTAATTACACCTTGTTTTATTCAAATTTTTCTCTCTTACTCATTGTATATCAAGTCTCACAATTTCCCCTCCCCCCGCTTATCTCCCTTTAATTATTTCCATTCATATGTTTACTTTTTCTAAATTTTCTCTTTCCTACCCCTTTTTCTTCATCAAAACTACTTTATTTAATCACTTGTCTAAAAAACCGTGACATTTACCCACGGGGACCTTCCAACATGACAGAGGGAGTAGATATGCATTGTTTTCTAAGTTGTAGTATTTTCTTTTGTCAAATATTTCTAACCTATTATGGTATCTGTTCTGTTAAAGTCAACGTCTTTGAACTGGGATGAGATTCGAACATGTGACGTTCTCTTTGGAAGTGTCACAGTGATTCTATCATATCACAAGGTAAATTGTAGTATTTTAGTGCAAAAAATAATAACCTTTAAAGTAATTATACATTTAATCAACCAATTCAGTTAATATATTACCAAACACTTTCGTTTTAGAATTTCATTCTTTTCATACTTTCGGCAGCCATT